TACCATTCGAATCGATTCGTGTTTGACTTCATACTACTATACGTTACCGAGGTTGCAAAATAGTTGCAAGCTCAACCAATTTGCAACTTTTGTAACAAAACAGTCGCACCGTCTTATTTTTTACCTTAGTTCTAATGTAACAAATTTTTACTTATCTAAAAAAAATAAAAAGTTGTAGGGGTGAGTCACTTTCGAAAAACAACCGGTATACAAGTATTGTACAACAAATAACTTATTTTGTAGATTTATCTTCCAGGAGCAAAAAGTCCAGACTTTTCTTAAAAAATGAACCGGCCACATGGGTATAGACATAAAAAAATACCGCTTACGTGATTTTAAAAAAAATACCGTTTACCAATTAACATGAATTTTACGACTTAAGACAGATAGCAGATATATTCTATTCTATTCTAATATTTTTTTTAAAACAAATAAACTCTTCAATACATTTTTTTAAATAGATGTAGGTAATACATATATAATTTTCTATTAAATATGTAAAAACAAAACCCACATGAGCAATCGAAATAAAGGGAGAAAATAACCTTAAATCCGGTCGATAACACCCTTTCAGTTTCAGTTCGAATATACATCAAAAAATATTAGAGCTATCGAGGTAGGAATTAGAAATATAAAGTTTTGGTTCACACATTAATGTTATTTAGTACAGTAATTTTTCATACTGTTAAAATTGCACACATCAATAGCACATAATATGTACGTGTGTACTTCCGTATTTGAAACTTTTGATAATAATAAAATTTTCTAATTGTTATAACTTTATTGCATAGATAAATAAAGTAGCCAGGTAACAGGAAATATATTCATATTATTCATATAGATTCAAAATTTATTATTTGTATATTTGGTTCGAACTGGTTTAATAGGAATTAAAATGTTATTAAATATAATAATAAGATTAGTTTAAATTTTCAAATTTGTTGCTATGTTACAGCTTAGTGTTCCGGTATAATTGTTTTTCTTGTAATAATTATTTTGTTGGGCAACAATCCTGAATATATTTAAATGGCAAGTAATTACAAATAATGCAATACTTCTTTTATGCCTAAAAATAGTTAAATGTCTAACCAATTTTGAAATTTATTTTCATTAGAATTTTTTCATTTGTTTGATATTTATGGTCGAATTAAACCCTAATTTTTGTTAAATGTCACCTCAAGTAGCAAAATAAAAAGATTTTTTATAGCCAATAATAATATTAATGTCTATAGCTTTAAGGCGGGTTCATATTATGTGTGTTCAGAATGTTACATTGTTTGAACCAATGACTAAAGAATACTTAAGGCCCAATAACAGCAGAGACCAAATTATTACCATTTGTCACCATACAGTGCCGTGCCAGACGATTAATCTTAAATCAAATAGTTTTTTACACGTTGTGACAAATAGTTTTTTACTGGTAGGTAATGTTTACGTAACGTAGTTTTTTACTGGTAACAAATAGTTTTATACGCGTAAAATAAAAAAATAATAAATAACTTGATTCGCTTTCCCAAAATTTGCATTAAAATAACACTATTTTAGATGAACACGTAGTAATAATTATTATATTATATTATTAGTAATTCATGTCGCGTCACTACATATTTCTAAGCCGTATAGGCTGTCCTTACGACTTTTCGTCTCTCGCTTGTGTGTCACGGCCTTGAATTTTTGCTCCCAGCGCTCGTAAAGAAGTTTTACTTCAAAAATGGCAGAGTTAAGTAAAAATTGTAATTTTGTTAGTTTCACAAAAAAATACATATATTTAAACTTGTAAAACTTCTTTACGCGCGCTAGGAGTAAAAATTCAAGGCCGTGACACATGAGCTAGCGAGACGACATACGAGACAAAAAGTGGTAAGGACGTGTGCTGGGAGTAAAAATTCAAGGCCGTATCACACAAGTTAGCCACAGCCACTTGTGTTTAGCCCTAGCAGGCAACTATTAGGCCCGACCAATCACGTTAGAGTTTTTGATAAACACAAATGAATTAACACACTTCAAATAACCACGCTAACCAACCTGATTGGTCAAGCTTAAAAGTTGACTGCTAGGGCTAGACACTTCTCCACAGCCTACCTACGGCTAACGCTAGTCCTACGTGGGAGACAAAAGCGAGCGGGCGACGCGTGCGCCAACGGGGGCGATTAGCTAGACGCGCGCGACATATTTCAATCGCCTTTGATGCCGCTTAAGTCGCGCGACATCGCGCTCTTCTCCTATCTAGGACAGCTTTGTGAAACCGCGTATTCACTTAGCGAACGTATACGGTCGCACGGCAACGAACGTATTCGCCAAAAGTGTGCGTATGTTTTATTCGGAATGCGCTCTGACATCTACATTTAGCAAACGTATGCGTGCAGTGTTGTTTGTCTTGTTCCGACCAATCATTCGCTATTTTTACTGGCTATTAAAAGCAAAAGTAAATGCCTTAAAATTTTTAAAAATGTCCGATGACGAATTAATTTTAATTGCAAGTGCATCGTACATTGTACTCGCCGAGGATGTGCAGAAGAAAAAGAAGACCTCGTCGATGGTGGATGACATAATTATTTAAAGCGTTGCTTTCTTCTACCGCATACTATGCCTTTATACGGCCACATCCAAAATAGCGTGCCGCGAATTTCCTTTGATGTACCGACAAGCGAGCGAACCTTTCCGCAACCGAATGCATGCGTTCCTCGATAAAATTATTAACGTCCACACTAACCGAAGGCATACGTTTGTTGCCGTGCGGGCGTATGCGTTCGCTAATTGAATACGCAGCTTAAGAAAACGTTGTTTGATAAATACGCGTCGCTTGCACCGACCGAATTGCGCGCTTTTGTCTCCTACGTAGGACGAAGCGTAACGCGTATTTATCAAACAATGTTTTCTTACGAAGCTGTCCTAGATAGGAGATGCGCGCGATGTCGCGCGATTGAAGCGGCATCGGAGGCGATTGTAATATGTCGCGCAAGTTGAGTTGTTGATCGCCCCCTGTTGTCACACGCGAAGCGTCGCCCGCTTATTCTAACGCTTTTGTCGCCCACGTAGGACGTAGCGTTAGAAATACGTAGTGACGCGGCGTGTTTTATTTTACGCTTATAAAACTATTTGTTACACATAAAAAACTAGTTGTTATACAAAAAAAAGTATTTTTTACGCAAAGAAAAATATTTTATTACTTTTTCAACATTTCAAACTACACTTTTTCAAACATGTCTTTCAAATCCATCAATTTAATAGCTGTTAGTTATCATGTTTGCCTTTTGTAATAAAACGGATTATTCATTCATTGTTTTTTAACTCGCAAAATTAGTTTGTAAATGGGACCAGCTATCGACTAAATGGAGACTTTACACAATTATTTAACGCATTACTTACTGTTACGAATTATTAAATTTACTTAGTTACGAGTAAAGCTTATGGTAGGTATATGGTGCTTTTTAGGTGGTGTTATGTCAATTATTTAAAGATAAAAAATTATAACGTTTACATAAAACTTGTATTCTAGTAAAGACTATTATGCTAAATATGTAGCACCATATTACAGTATCACATTAGAAAAATAGTTATTAAATCCAATAATAAAAGCTAAAAAGGTGGAGTGAAACGAAATAATTCCTGGCTTTTTATTCCCGCTACGGCTTTTAACGACCTCTACACTTTTCGTGAAATAATCCGAACTGTGATACAGATATTGTTATAAAACTTGACACACATCTTCTATATGTTACAGTGAAAGTAGAAAATTCAGTGATTGTTAACATTCACTAGGAAATGCTAACAATTACGCATTGGACCAGTGAATGTGGTATTTTAAAGAGATTTGTCGACTTTTCCTAGCGATTTCTAAGATTCACTAGTGAAAGTAACATTTACTAAAGGTAGCCAGTAAAAGTTATTCTATTGTTCAAAACGAGTGTGGTGAGGAAGAATGTTGGTGGAAGTTAGAACAAATAAAACTTTTAAGAATATTCGATCACCTCAATATTCAAGCTGATCCACATATCTTAAAATTTCAATTTACTTCTTTAGTATATTTATTAAAAATTATAGAAAATAACGACATGACCTTCTAAATATTAAAAGGGAAAACATAGTAAACATTTTAAATCGTACAAAACAAATTAAAAAAAAACATTCATAAAGATTTTGTTCGCCTAGATTGGACGCGGCTTAATACTTATTGGTACAAGGTTTTTTTTAATAAAGTTCTTCATCGTGGACAAAATATGCCAGAATTTTCTTCAACGGGAATTATTCGTTTTTTCTAAGCTGTTGAACTTTTACTGGTCTAGTCTTAGCAAATCAGTGAATGTGAGCTTTTACTAGTAGGTAATTGTTAACAATCACTGATTTCCAACTTTTGCTGTAACATATACATCAAAATGTCTTTTTTGATCTACAAACAATTTTATTTATTTCTACAAGTGGGTGTCCTTTTTTTCCGGGTTTTATATTGAATATTTTACGAAAAGTCACTGACTTTTCGTAAAATAAACATTATTTTCAAAAAATATCCATTTCTAAACAATTTTTATCTCTTGATTTTTTTCGTTTGACGCTTTAAAAAATTAAAGTTATTTTAATTCAGGTTCTGATTCAATGTGATGCGGTGACTGTTAATTTGGAAATCATTTCTGCATTGGCCGGAGGGAAATTAAGAGATACAACAGAAATTTCTTTTGAACACTAAAAAATTCATTTTTATGCATAGCAGAAGTGTTTTAAATTTCGTTATGAGAGTTATTATGAAAAAAAAAATAAAAAATTTTCACCACCCTGTATCTGAATAGTTAAGATGTTTAAGACATATTCATATGTGTTTTACAAGTTTTTTTTTCTTAGAATAGGTCAAGGAATCGCCTTCTTTATATTGCATGTCATTAAGGATCACCCTGTGTAAAGATTTTTTTAGGTCTTTAAGGAAACGTTATTTTAGAGTTAGTCTCGTAAAAAATTGCAATAATAAAAATTTATAAAAAAATTAAAGTAATATTTCCTTTTTTTAGAGCTATAAATGGGAACAACATTAAAAATATGACAGTGATAGACGTTGAATCGTCGACTCCGGAGAAGCATACAGCTGCCGAAATGGTTTCAACGGCAAGACGAGCGTTTAACACTGGAAAAACAAAATCGTACGAGTTCAGAACACAACAATTAAGAAACGTAAAACGGTTTTTAAAAGAGGTTGGACCAGAACTTTGTGCAGCCCTGGAGGCCGACTTTCGGTAAAACATCATCACATTTTAAACAAAGTAATCACTGATAGAGACTTTATAGATACATTAACAAATACCAAAATTTACATATACCTACACGGTGAGAATTTGTAAATGTAACTATAGAGAATATATCTTATTCAAAAACTACCATCATGAAGATCTCTAATTATATTGGAAGATTAGCCCAATATAATTGGAGATCTTCATGATACTATCATGAAGCTCACTCCGCCACAAACTCCGCTCCATCCTTAACGTAACGGCCTAAGTAACCCGTATAACCAAACAGTACAGGGTGGCGCCTCTCATACGCCGTGGCGAGGCTCCAAGGGGAACGACAGTTTGTATTGAAATGAAATTTTGTGAGCATATGTAGGTTAATTCAGAGCACTTTTTAAAAATATAGAGAGTTTTACAGGGTGTCCCCAAAAAAAGTTACATATCAAAGTTGTGTTTTTTGTAATGGAACATCCTATATATTAAATGGTTTTCGGATTCTGGGAGAAAAATAAAGGTGAGTTTTATAAGAGAAGTATATGAATAAAATATAAGGTTTTTGACATATTTAACATTTTCTAGAAATAAAGAACAATTTTTAAATTACAATAAAAACTACCTAAATTAAAATTTACCCGGTATATCCTAATATGTAGTTAAATTAACTATTGTACTTTAAATCAAATTAAAAGTTGATCCAAAAAAGTTATACAGGGTGAGACAAAATTAATATTGAACATTGGTCACCTTTAAAAGAATGTTACTCCCAGTATAATATATAAATGGAACACCCAGTATATTATTACGATATTCAATGGAGAGTTCATATCTCTTCAAAATACTATTAAGGTTGCTTATTCCTCCAACAAAGATTTTCTTATATATTTTCATTTACATGATTTGATTTGAGTAGATCTTTATTATTTGAGAAAATCTAGGTGGCTGTGATAATATGTCTGACATTACTTCAACATAGCTGTCTAGTGACGCAAATCATAAAAATTAAAATACCTAGGAAAATCTTTGTCTGAGGGGTAAGCAACCTTAATAATATTTAGAAGACATACTATAAATTATCTATTTAACACCGAAAAAATATAATGGGTGTTACATTTAAAATAAAGGTGTAACTTGCTTTTTAAGTGACTAATGTTCCATATTAATTTTGTCTCACCCTGTATAACTTTTCAGGTCAAATTTCAATTTGGTTTAACATACTGTTACGTTTTTCGTCGGTTCCGTGTGGATAGAAAGTCACAATTTATTTAAACACTATTTATTTAACACTAATTAACAAAAACAATAACGATAAAAAGACTTATAGAACTATTTACAAACGATTTATAACTAAGAATTTATTTTGAATTTTAGCGCGTCAACTGTATATTTATAACTGCCCTCTCTAGGCCACTGCCGCCGGCTTTTATACCGACAGGTAAAAGAAATCTAGAATAGTCCAAAGATCGTTAGGCGCATAGAGAAGGTTTTCGAGGCCACCCCCTGTAAACTCTATATATTTAAAAAAGTGCTCTGAATTAACCTACATATGCTGCCAAAATTTCACTTCGATATAAACTACCGTTCTCCTTGGAGCTTCCGCGGCGTATGAGAGGCGCCACCCTGTATATAACCTTTATCGAGTCTATATTAAAATATTTATTCGATAAAGACAGCCTTTACTTTTTTGATACAGCGACGATACGTGTTTGAATACAGTCTAACTATACTATACTGATTGAAGTTGACCTGTACTGATACTTTACCACCACTATATGCTATAATTATATGCTTAATTACGCCATCCAAGGAGCGTCCGCGTCCGTGCAAAATTTCCGTCCGTACAATATTAACCCCCTAATTTCAACCCCTTAGCGGCCGAATTTCCAAAAATCCCTTCTTAGTGCTCACATACATCACTTAAGGAACGCATTTGCCAAATTTCGTGTTTCTATGTCGTGTATTTAAGTTTTAAATCTGTCCTAGATATACAGGGTCCGGCAATAGTGTGTCGGGCTGTCGGGCATCTGTAGCTCCTAGAATAAAAAGCTTGAGAATTTTGTTTAAGTGCAAACCTAAAGTATATACCAGGATGTATTTCAGGAAAATATTTTAACTTCTATAGGGTGGCTCAAAAAAGTGTGAGTGGATCTGGATGATTTTTTTTAAATGGAACACCCTGTATATTATTGCATTTTTGACTTTCTTTCAGATCACTTTACATAACCCTAAGATATGAATAAATATATTTCGATAGTTTCAGAGATATTAAAAAATAAATTAAAAATATATATTTTTCAGCCCTTCTTAAAAAAACTATTAAAAACACCAGGAACTGTTCTGAAATCAAAACTATATTAGGTATTTACTTTAGATGGTTTGTTATTACTTTGCTATAAATATGGTAATCGTAAATCATGCAGGATGTTCAATATTCTACGCCAAACTTTCTAAAATATAAAATATTTTTTCTTTGTTTTTTTAAATGGAACACCCTGTATATTATTTTTTTATTAGATGGAAAGTTAAAAAATTAACATTTTTTGTATTTAGAGTATTTCAAAATTTTTAACGGTTTCCCAGATACACGCAGTATTATTTCATATGGCGATTTCAATGGTAAAATACGAGAGAAAAATCATTGGGTGGCTTTGATAAACATTTACTGTGGAAAATGCCATATGAAATATAAAACCGTAAATATCTGCGAAACCCTTAAAAATTTTGAAATATTCTAAATACAAAAAATGTTCATTTTTTAATTCTTTGTCTATTGAAAAAATAATATACAGGGTGTTCCATTTAAAAAAAAAGAAGAAAAATTATTTTATATTTTAGAAAGTTTGGCGTAGAATTTTTAACATCCTGTATGATTTACGATTTTCATATTTATAGCAAAGTAAGTACAGACCATCTAAAGTAAATACCTAATATAGTTTTGATTTCAGAACAGTTCTTGTATTTTTAATAAATTTTTTTAAGAAGGGCTGAAAAATATATATTTTTGATTTATTTTATAATACCTCTGAAACTATCGAAATATATTTATTCATATCTTAGGGTTTTGTAAAGAGATCTGAAAGGAAACCAAAAATGCAATAATATACAGGGTGTTCCATTTTGAAAAAAATCTCAATTCTCAAGATTCTCAATCAACAAAATTCTCAAGTTTTTTCTTCTAGGAGCTACAGATGCCCGACGCACTACTGCCGGACCCTGTTATAAATTTATCCTATAATGCATAGCCGAAACTGCTTGACATAGAAACAAGAAATTTGGCAAATGTATTCCTTAAATGATAACTAAGAAGGGGTAAGTGAGCACTAAGAAGGGATTTTTCGAAAGTCGGCCGCTAAAGGGTTGAAATTAGGGATAGAAGGTTGCACAAAAAGTTGTTAAAATCTGTTCTATGAGTACGAAATTTTGCACAGAGGTCTCTTAAGCGGCGTAATTGAACACTAAGAAGCGATTTTCAGAAATTCAACCTTTAAGGGGGTGAAACTACCAAAACTAGGGGTGGAAGTTTGTAGTTTTTTTTTTAATTTGTCGTAGGAGTATAAAATTTTGCGCAGAGATTCTTAAGTGACGAAAGTAGATACTCAATTTTTGGAAATTTATGCCCTACGAGGGTAAAGTTAGGGGTGAAAGTTTGTACAAAAATTTGTTGAAATCGCTTCTAAAAGTATGACATTTTGCACAGAGGTTTCTTGGGTGACATAATTGACCACTGAGGAGCGATTTATGAAAATTCACACATAAATAAGGGGATAGAACTGGAGGTAAAATTTTGTATATATATTTTTTTAAATTAGTCCTAGGGGTATGCTTTTATTTTGTATAGAGGTTACTTAGAAGCGATTTTTTTTGGAAACTCACCTCCTAAGAGGGTGAAATAAAGGGTGAAATTTGTCTCAAAAATTTGTTAAAATGGGTTTTAGAAGTATGAAATTTTGCGTAGAAGTTTCTTAGGTAACGTAAAATGAAAAAAGTAAAGTGGGTACTAAGAATTTATTTTTCAAAATATGTCCCTTAAGCAGGTGAAATTAGACACAAAGGTTGACAGCAATTAGAAAATTGACAGCCGTACCAAAATCAGTAAAAAATAATCATAATAATCAAAGTAACGAATATTTGAAATTATTACTTAGTACTCGAGTAACGATTAGTAACGAGTAGTCAAAAGTAACGAAAATCAACATCACTAACATGAATTAAAAAAATTATGTTTAAGTAAATACTTAAACATATCCCTGGTAGTATTAATAGGTATTCTAATAAAATACTACGAACGACAAAATTATTTACTTGATAATGATAGCATTTTTAACTCATTGTTGGTAAGGTTTTATAATGTTTCAGAAAACCTGAACAAGAAATATACATACTTGAGATTGAGGTTCTAATTGCAGAAGCTGATCACTTTATATCACACTTAAAAGACTGGATGAAACCGGAAAAACCAGAAAAACCTTTACTGAACATCTTTGATAAAATCAGAATTTACTCTGACCCGTTGGGCGTTGTGCTTGTTATTGGGGCTTGGAACTATCCGGTCTTGTTAACTATAGGGCCTGTATTAGGTAAGCACACTTTTATTGAAATTACTAGTAATGGGATAACTCGAGCAAAAACTCGCTTTTCGTTCAATAATAGTTCTAGTCGGCAATAGTATTTTTAGTCGGCAATAGCATATTTTTACACTAATGTATTACTAATTATATACCTTAAATAGGGTTAAAAACTGTTATAAAAATACCCTGTCATAATGCGATTGGTTTTTGAAATTTGGCTATTTCAAGTTATTTTTTCTATTTAAAATTTTCTGAAACTAGAGCAATAGGAAAAAAGCACTAGAAAGATATAAACATTATGGACCGATTTTTAAATTTTGTGCTACACTTTAGGTACCTAGGGGTGGTACACCTGCATTTTTTTAAAGAAGATTAATAAGATTGTTATATTTAGATATTTGTTAACTTTTTTTTCTATCCTCCTTGAAAAAGGATTCTTATTTAATTTTGTGTAGGGATCATTTCTGTTGACCAGGAAGTAGATAATTATATTCATATATTTTTTTTCCTTTTCTTGGGTATGAGGTTTTTTTAAATAAATTGAAAGTTGGAAACTTTTTTTATGCGACGTTTCGCTCCAACCATAGTGGGCTTTTTCAGGCACTTCAATCTTAAAAGTCGCCTTGCACCAGTCTGTAAAGCCCACTATGTTGGAGCGAAACGTCGCACAAAAAAAGTTTCCATCTTTCAATTTATTTAAAAAAAACCTCATACCCAAGAAAAGGAAAAAAAATATATGGATAATTATCTACAGGTTTAAGAAGTAAGAAACAATTAAACTGTTAATTATATCGTGGTAGTCTTTTTTATTTAATGCAACAACCAATCTTTAAAAGTTAGAAAATTTCTAATTAATGCTCTTTACTTGTATGTACTTTTTATTACTACTGTAGTCTGTACAGGGTGGGTCAAATTGGACGCTTTTAAAGGGAAACACCCTTTCCTATAGGAGATAGACGAAAACTAATATCGGTGTCTGGAGCTCAATTTTTGTCAAAAAGGTGATGGTGAAAACCGCATATCGATATCTGTTACTGTTTCGGAGTTACGGGGTGTTTTTCAAAAATGTGCATTTTTAACAAATCGCTTTACCTTTTTTGCTATGGAAAATGTTGTATTTTTGTGAAAACATTTCCAAAGCACCTTTTTACGTAGAATTTAATGGTTTAAGTATAATTTTTTTAAAATTAATAATTTAAGAATTATCAACAGAAAATTTGATTTTTTGTATGGGACACCCTGTATATTTTTAATTAAATGGAAAGACCTCAAAATTACCTTTCCCAAAATATAGCACACTTGATATTTTGCTCGATTCCTCTTCGAGATATAGAGTTTATAAAAATTCGCCCACTTTAAATAAGTAGGCTTTGAACCGCGCCGGCTATAATGCAAAAAAATTGTAGCTGTAAGCAGCAATTAAAACGAAAATAATATTTGCAATGAGAGATTTAGAATTTTATAGTAGAATGTAGAATGTTTAGGAGGGGAGTTAATCACCGCGACCATAAAGATCTCTATTGTGTGTTCCCCTTTCTTGAGTTATAACGAGTTATAACTCATCATACAGTCTCAGGGCTTTAAGAAAAGCCAGTATCTGAGACGGCTCCACAGAGGCCAGCTCTCCATCCTCGACATCAGACGTACCAAGGTTCATGGCACGAATGGTCGTCGTCTCGGCGCACTCAGTGATAAGGTGTTCTGGTGTTTCCTCATTTTCCCCACAAAATCTGCATTCGCCGTTGTTTCTCAATTTCAGCCTACTGAGGTGTTCGTTGAGGAGACAGTGTCCTGTTAGAAACCCCGTGACAATCCGAAGATTGTTTTTACTCAAGGAAAACCTTTGATTTTTCTCGGTCATAAGTTCTAAGGAACTTTTTCGAGTGTCTTAGACCGTTGGAGGATACCCATTCCAAGTTACGGATGGAGTCTTCCAGATTCTTCAGTTCCTCTTTCAGTTGGTTCCCGTTTGGAAAACAGAACGGTTCTGGTCCAGTTAGTGGAGTGTTCGTTCCTTTTCTAGCTAGATCATTTGCTTTTTCATTGCCTTCTATCCCTTGGTAAGCAGGCACCCAGAGTAGGAAGACTTTATTTTCTTTGCCTAATTTGTTAAGCTTCTCTAGGCATTCTTTGACCAACTTCGAATTGATGGTTACTGAGTTGATCGCGTTAAGTGCTGCTTGACTATCGGATAGGATGGCAATTTCTTGTTTTCGATAGTTCCTATCTAAGATAAATTGTACGCATCTTTCGATAGCGCAAATTTCTGCCTGAAGGACACTGGGGTAGATGCCCATTGGTTCGGAGTATTCAGTTTTCGCCCCAAATAGTCCCTGCTTTGGTTTTGGAAGCATCAGTATACCACGTGATGGTATGGTCTTTTATATGCTGAGTAAGCGTTTCTTTCTTCCCAATCCTTTTTATTACTCAATACTACAGTGAGGTGTTTCTCAAAGTTGTAAATTCTTGGTATGTTATCCACTGGGAGTTTGAGAAGTGGAATTTTCTTTTTGAGGGTGTTCCAAACATGACCTGAAAATTCTCCCAGTACTGTTTCCGTCAGTAACCATTCTAATCATTGTCGCATTGGCATAACTACCGACGACAATATGCAGTGGTGTTAGGTCTAGAATGACCTCCATTGCTGCTGTTGGACATGTTCTCATGGCACCTGTGATGCAGATACATGCAGTCTCTGTACTTTGCACAGGGTTTGCCTTGCTGTACGTTGCTCTAGTTTTGTATACCAAGCAACTGCTCCATAAGTAATCATGGGTCTTACTATCATGGTATACATCCAGCGCAAAATGTTAGGGGCGCAGCCCCACCTATTTCCCGCCAGTCTTCTGCATATCATGAGAGCCTTTGTGGCTTTGCTGGTAATGTTCTTAATATGCCTGTTCCAGAGAAGTTTACTATCCAGGGTTATTCCCAGATATTTCACTTCCTGTGATGGCAGTATTTCCTTTCCATCTAGATGGATTCTTTTCAAGTTTTTCAAACTTCGCTTTCTGGTGAATGGCACTACTGCGGTTTTATCTGAGTTAATACTCAGCCCGACAGTCCTGCACCATCTCTCAGCGATGCGGAATCCTCTTTGGATAATATCACACAGGGTGCCTTCATGTTTCCCCTGTGCAATGATGACTATGTCATCTGCGTACCCTATGCAGTGTATTCCCGCTAGAGTTAATTCTTCCAGTAGTTCATCCACTACCAAGCTCCACAGTAGGGGGGAGGTCACTCCACCTTGTGGAGTTCCTTGCGTTGTTTTAACAACTACAGTTTTGGTACCTATCTCAGCCTCTGCTGTTCGTGTTGAAGCATTTCCCAAAACCAGCGAAATATCGTACTGTTCACCCCTCTTGTTTCAAGAGATCGTTTGACCACCTTGTGAGGTATATTGTCAAACGCCCCTGCAATGTCCAACAAGACACAAAGTGCTGTTTCTTTGCTATCCAGGCTAGCCTGTATTAGCTCAGTTAACTGGTACAGAGCAGTTTCTGTGGATCTGCCCGCTCTATATGCATGCTGACTATCGTGCAGTGGTTTAACCTGTAGATGATTTACTCTAATATGGTTGTCTACTACTTTCTCCATCGTTTTTAATATGAACGATGTGAGACTAATAGGCCTAACTGATTTGGGGCTAGCCCAGTCAGTTTTGCCTATTTTGGGTATGAAGATGACTTTCGCTCTTCTTGTAATGTTTAATAGATGGAGTGTAGCTATTTCCTGACCCTTCTTTAGAAGGGCAGGAAAAATCCCATCTATTCCTGCTGTTTTATAAGGCTGAAAGGTGTCAATAGCCCATTTCAGTTTTTGTTCTGTTATTACTAGCTTGGCCGTCTCCCAGTCTTCCCTGCAAGGATTGTGGGGTTCAGTCGGAGCTACTTGCGTATCAATAGATATGCTACCTGGAAAGTGTGTATGAAGGTAGGAGGTTAGCTCTCTCTTCATCTTCTTCCGTGTAGCTTCCGTCAGGTTTCTTAAGTGCCATGTTGGGGATGGGCCCACTCTTGGCCATAGCTTTGTGTAGCGTAGCTGCATAAGTAGTTGAAGTGATGTTTTCGCAAAAGCATCTGAAGTCAGACCGCTTTGCCCTTCTAATCTCCTTATTATACTCAGTTAATTTCTCGGCGTAGAGCTGCCATTCGCCGCTGGGTTTGGCTCTGTTGAAGAGTCGCCGGACCTCCTATCTAAGATTGACCAGCTTTTTGTTCCACCAGGGCTTGTTGTTACTTTTTTGTATGCCCTTACTTGTGGGGCAACTAGATTCATATGCATCCAATATTGCACCACTGATTTCCTTTGCGTACCATTCTAGATATAGGTGGTTCCTAGCCCTACCTGCATCTATTTGGTCCAGGTTGTCTACGAGATTGGTGTGGTATAGTTCCCAATCGGTTTTTCTTGGATTCTTTCGAATTTCAGTTTGGTGTATGATTCCTCCTAATTTGAACTCGATGATTCTGTGATCTGATAGGGAAGGTTCCGTTGACACCCTCCAATCTTTCACGTAACTAGTTACACTAGCACTCGATTGTTAAATCTAATACTTCCGCCCGCGTTTTTGTCACAAACGTGGGGGTGTTCCCTATATTGAGAACTTCAAGATTGTACGTTAAGAGGAATTCTAGTAAACACTCACCTCTAGTTAGAATTTTATAACAATTTAAACTATATTTAACAACATCAACACATTTAAACTATATCTAATAACAATAAAAATTAACAGCAAACCAAGAAATGAGATTTTGCTACAGGTGTTCGACATGTCGATCGTCTTCTGTTATGGACAGACAGAACCGTTTTTGAACATTTCTCGCGGAATTCATTAACTCAATGTGGATGAAAGATACCCTCGCATGACCGCTAAGTGCTTCTAATTCTTGTCTAGATTATACAGGCAATTTAAAAATAAGAACCTTTATTTTTTCGCAAAGATAAAAATCCTTTGGCACTAAGTCCTGCGGTCTCGACGGCCAACGGCTGGGATCTTGGTTAGC